TTGGGATGGAAATTCTACGATGCAGACGATTATCATCCTCTAGAGAATAAGAAGAAAATGGAAAAAGGGATACCACTAAATGATGAGGTACCTTGAATAAACCCTGAAAAAACTGTTGTCCACACATTTATCTCTGTAACTTCATACACATCTTGTTGAAATAGATTGTAGTTTACTACATAGACTAATCTGACTGTAAACACAGGTCTGCATTTGCTAAGGTGAGGGAAGCTTCTTGTGTCGGAAAAGATTCTGCATAAAAAAGTAGTTTATCAAATGCTTGTCAGCTCGCAAGTGGTATGCTGCTGCTTCAGGATTTGTGAGAAATCTCCCCCTCTACAGTCCACACACAGAGTTGCAGTTTTGGATTTAAATGACAGAATCTTAGAATATACTGAGTTGAAAGGGACCCACAAGAACCACAGAATTTATCTCATGGTCCTGCACAAAACAACTCCAAAAATTTGTTACCCTCTCTCAAATCACTTTTCATAATTTGTCACCACTTGTGGTTAACTTGGAAGGTCCCAGACAACTAGAGGTCGGCCAATGTGGCCCATCTACAGGAAGGGTTGGGAGGAGGATCCAGGGAGCCTGTAAGTCTGGCCTCAGTATCTGGGAAGGTTATGGAACAGATTGAGTACATCACATGGCATGTGCAGGACAACCACTGCATCAGGCCCAGCCAGCAGGGGTTTGCGAAAGGTAACTTTACGTCCTTCTATATCCAGGTGAACTAGTGGATGAGGGAAATGCTGTGGATACAGTCTGCCTGGACTTTAGTAAAGCCTTTGATGCCATTTCCCAAAGCATCCTCCTAGAGAAACTGGCTTCTTATGTCTAGGATGAGTGCACTGTTCACTGGTTAAGAAGTGGCTGGATTGTCTGGCCTAGAGGCTGTTGGTGAATGGAGCTACAGGCATCAGCATCACAGCCAATCCTGGTTAACATCTTTATTAATGATATGGAGGGGGTTGACTGCATTCAGTAAGTCTGCAGGAAAGCTCTGCAGAGGGGTCCAGACAGGCTGGATCAATGGGCTGGATCAATAAGTTTCTATAAGGTGAAGTGCCAGGTCCTGCCCTTGAGTCACAACAGCCCCAGGCAGGACTACAGGCTTGGGGCAGAGAGGCTAGAAAGCTGTCCAGCAGAAAAGGGCCTGGGAATGCTGGTCGGCAGCAGGTGAACATGAGTCAGCACACGCTCAGGTGGCCAAGAAGGCAGTGGCATCCTGGCTTCTATTAGCAATAGTGTGGCCAGCAAAACCAGGGCAGTGATTGTCCCCCTGTACCTGTATCTCACAGTGGTGAGGCTACACCTTGACTGCTGTGTCCAGTTCTGAACCTCTTAATTCAGGAAGGACATTGAGGTGCTGGAGTCAGTCCAGAGAAGGGCAAAGGAGATGGTGAAGGGTCTGGAATATAAGTCCTGTGTGGAGCAGATGAGGGAGGTAGGGATGTTTTTATCCTGGAGAAAAGGAGACTCAAGGGACACCTTATCAATCTCTACAATTACCAGAAAGGTGGTGAGATGGGAGTCAGCTTCTTCCCCCAGGTAACAAGGAATAGGACAAGGGAAAATGATCTCAGGTTGTGCTAGGGGAGGTTCAAGTTGAGTATTAGGAAAAATGTCATCACTGAAAGGGTGGCTAAGCATTATAATTGGCTGCTTAATAAAATGGTGTAGTCACTATCCCTAGAAGTGTGTAAAAAAACAAGTACACACTTGGTTACGAGCTATGGTTTAATTAGCATGGTGGTATTGAGTCAAAGTTGGACTTGATGATCCTCAAGATTTTTTCCAAGCCTAATGCTACTATGATTCTGAATTGCAGCATGTGCCTGAGAGTGCTGACCAAATGCTTTGGAACTCTGTCAGGTTGGCGCTGTGACCACTTACCTGGGAAGCCAGTGCTCAACCACCCTCTGGGGTGGAGCCTTTTTCTAATACCTAATGTTAACCTCCCCTGACACAACTTCAGGCCATTCCCTGGCGATCGCCACAGAGAAGAGATCAGTGCCTGCCCCTCCTCCTCCTCTCACAGCAAGTTGTAACTGCAATGAGGTCTGTCCTCAGTCTCCTGTTCTGCAGGCAGAACAAATCAAGTGGCCTCAGCCACTCCTCATACAGCTTCCCCTCAAGGCCCCTCAGCATCCTCAAGGCCCTCCTTTGGATGTTGGATGCTCTCTAATATATTTATATTCTTATTATATTGTGGTGCCCAAAACTGCACACAGGACTCAAAGTGAGGTTGCCCCAGTGCAGAGCAGAGTGGGACAATCCCATCCCTTGATGGGCTGGCAATGCTTAAAGTACTAATAGCATAATGGTACCGCTTGAAAAAAAAGGATTTTTCCATTTGCTATCAATTAGGACAGTAGTTTTGCAGTTAAAGCCACTTTTACTGTAAAGAATCAGGAAGAATTTAAAAAGTTAATGTCCACAACGTCTAGAGAAAAATACACTTATGACTGTAGCTAAAGAGTCTTAAACAAAGAATATAAACTAAAGAATCCTGGTGAACATATGAAATCAATCTAAAAGCACATGGAGCCTAGAAACAGGGCAAGATGCAGTAATAGGATATTTTGAAAAAGACTTTAAGAATCAAGCTGTAATAGAAAAATTTTGCAAAGCTCCTACCCTTTTTCCTTTTTTTTTTTTTTTGTTTTTTTATTTTTTGGCAAGGCTTCACTTTTTTTTCTTTTGGTCCCTCAAATCTTTTGGGAGATGTCCTTAGCCAATTTAAACTGAAAAAAAATATTCTAGATTCTGGTTAAAAACTTAAATCTTTCACTAGTGGTTGGAAGTGTGTATGTTGTCTGTAGCAACTTGAATGACTAAACCACTGGTGCGTGGTGCTCAGCAAGAGGAAAGCATCTCTTCTGAAAAACGAGAGGTGCAAAATTGTGAGGGCCTTCTTGAATGCCTAGGGGAATTTACTGTGTAATGAGAGCAGCAAAAAATTGTTGCATTTATTTGCCCATGTTATCATTTGTTGTGCTCACCCAGCAGTAACAGCATTGAAACATTAAATGGGAGCAGCTGTTTAGCTCTCATTAGGCATGACTGAAGTTTGCAGCAGCTTAAAATTTCATATTAAGTAAGCATCTGATTGCACTTAATTAAGCACTTGTGTTTGCCTAAGTAATGGGCAAAAGTTTTGAGGAATTGTAGTTGTGGTTACATTTGTTTGTGAGCGCTACTGACATAATTATTGCAGAAAACTAAATTTAGATCTGTCTGTAACTGAAACTTCAACTTGGATGCAAAATGGGAATGGGGTGTGTGTATGACACTATATCAGGAAAAAGAAATAACAACTCCAGCTGTACATTTGAATAGTATAATAGAAGCAAGAGATAAGTTGACTGTCCTTCAGAGGGTTTACAGGGTGCATGCTGCATTTGCATATATATTACTTCCATCATATACTTGAAGGGACCTGTAATATAAAAAGTATTATTCCACTAAAAGCATCTTATTCATAATGTACCTAGCACATCTTATTAGCCTTCAGGCAGTGGGAGCATATCTATGTAGGAAGAGAGAGATTCAAAACTGAACTTGCTATACAATTTAATGCTAATATTTACCTCTAGTCAAATATCTGACATGCTAGAAGCAATTGTTTCAAATTAATTTCTGAACAATTTAACTAACTTGTTTTCTTTCTAGGACAGGATTCCTTGGCTTTGTGCATTGCATGATATACTAAGGAGGTAAGAGAATATCTAGTTTTTAGATGTTTTAGCTAAAGACAGAAGTACCAGAAATGTTTTCCCCACTGCATTGCAAAGCAGAAATGTAAGTGGTATTGTAAAGAAATTCTGCAGGTAATAAAATCATTCTATTTTTACTAATCTAAACTGTCATGGTAATTGCTGATGGTGAGCTAATCCCTGAGAAATAAAGTGGGAAACTGTTACCAATGATGGTTGTTTTTTCTACTATCTGTGTAAAAATAATTTCAAGGATCCAGTTTATTTATAAGCCTTATGTTAGCTACTTACAAAGAACATAACCACAAAATACACCAATAACAATAGTAGGATAAAATACTGTTATTTTGAATAAGATACTGTGTCAAGTAAGTTTGACACTATTTGTTTGCTTGAGTGTACTCTGCTAATTTGCAGATGACATCAAAATGGGAGGAGTAACTGAGGCAGAGGGACCTTGAAAGGCTGTAGAAACAGATTGGTAGGAACCTTTTAAAAATTCAAATCCTGTCCCTGGGAAGGAACAACCCCAAGCACTGGTACGGGCACGGAGGGGCACTCAGCTGGAAAGCAGCAGAAAATGGCTTGAGGGAGCTGCGATGGACAGCCCTAGTTGAATACTTGCCAGCAATGTGCTCTTCTGGCAAGGCAGGCCAGCAAAATCCTGAATCCTGGGCTATATTAGAGCAAGTATTGCTAGCAGATCAAAGGAGATGATCCTCCACCTCCCCTTTTGCACTGGTGAGGCCACCCGAACTTCTGTGTCAGTTCCGGGACCCTCATTATCAGAGGCATGGACATACTGGAGAGCATCCAGCAGTGATGAAGGGACTGAAGTGTGTCCCAAAAAAGGAAAAGGTTGGGAGGGCAGGGACTGTTTAGCCAGGCTTTACACTTGCTTGTGCACATTAGGTGAGCATACCTCATTTCTCACTGAGAAATTTTTCTGGGTTGATTTGCTGGATCCATTGCTTCAGTTATGTGATAGCTCATGCACTGCCCAGCTCTGGAAACTTTACAAAATCAAATATATTTTAAAAAAGCCTAATGCAAATGTTTAATTATAAGAAGCTGAGGCTGTCACTAGGTGATAATGGTAGGTATTAGAAGTTCTTACTTCCCTTTGAACCAAAATCTGATAACCATAGGATGATTTTTAAATAGCTGTCTACCTGATTTTAATTTTATTACAAAATATATTTTCTTAGGCAGGAATTTTATTCACTCTTCATAGAGACAACTAATTCTGGATTTGCTTTTTGGTGAAACAGACACATCCAGAGTTAAATGCTTTATTTAAAAAAACCTTGTCAGCAGAAAATACATATGCAACACATTCACTGAACTGCAATCCCTTGCTTAAGCTGAAGTGAGTATAGATGCAATGCTACCAATGAGTTGCAGGAAACATAAATTACAGTTAAATCTGAGACAGTGACAGCGGGTGTTGAAAATATTGTGTATTTAAGAACAGTGGTCTGTATTGCTTATCAGCCCCTTACCTTTAGAGAGAACAGTATAGTAATTTTATAGACAAGGGACAGGTGTTTCTATGGATATTTAGTTCCTGTTCTCAGCAATTAAAGAAATGAGCTTGACACTTCCTTGTGCTAGAATTGAATTTAATCTAGGAAAGAATGGTAGCTAATAGAAAAGGTCCCTAAGACTGAGATTTTACCAGAAGGCTGGCTAGCTTGGCCTCACTTTCAAATCACATCTTTACCTGGACTGGAAATTTGGTTTCAAAATCCTGTCAAAATCACTGTCAAAATGCCTCTACTCCCATGGCTGACCTTCTTGAGGAGCTAGGGCATGTCTGCCTTGTTCAGCAGAACTAACAAGCCATTTTTGTTATGCTACATGTAGATATGTAAAGGTTTTTGTATTTTTTTTTTTTTTTTTAATAGAGAAGACACATCTAGACAAGATACAATTCTGGCTTGTTCTGCACTGAAGAAGATGTACAGGTGTGTGTTAAGTGGTGGAACATCTGCAATTGAAAGCAACCAGACAGAGCAACCAGGAGACAACCCAGCACTGAAGATCCTCTTTGTTCATTTGGATGGACCTAAGGACATCATTGCTGGCCGCCTGGAGAAGCGGAGAGGTCATTTTATGCCACGTGAACTTCTCCAGTCTCAGTTTGATACTCTAGAGCCACCCAGTGCACCAGAAAACTTCATTACTGTCAGTATAGAAAAATCTCTCCCAGAAATACTGCTACTGATTGAGAGTGCCATTCTTCAGGGTGAGGCTTTGCCAGAGTAATTTTCTGAATGACACATACAGAAATTCCCTGAAGGATAGCAAGGCTATGAGACAGGATTTTAATTATTAAATTGATTATTAAATCAAACCAACTTATTTTTAAGAGCTGGTTTACTACTCCTTTTTTTAATCATGGCTCTGTAAGACATACAAGATGTAATTTGCAAAACCTGTTAACTTTTTAAGCCCTTCACTCTATGAAGTTAAAATTCTCCTTTTAGTAAGAGCCTGCTTTTGAGGATCCTGGCAAGGGTCACACAGAATAATTTATTTTCTAAATTTTAATATTTACTCTGTCAGACACTGAGATGGGCATATCTGCTATTACAAGATTAAATAACTTACAGCTTTGTTAAAAATAACATAATTTTCCTAGAAGAGGCAGGAACATGCATGATGAAGTTCCATACATGACACTATTCTTGTCTCACTGCTGGATTTTCATCGAGTTGTAGGTTCTGTGTTTGTATCCTTGTTGACCTCACCAGAGCACTTATGACTACATGAGAACTTTACTGATCTCTTATGTATGCATTGGCCACCAAGCTGAAAAATGTGAGAAAAGAAAAAGGTAGTGGTGACGATGCAATATACAAAATTTAATTGAATGAAAAGCTTTAGAAATACAGCTTAAGTGGCATCATACTGACTCTGAACTTAGAGCTTTCATGTACAAATGTACACATTGCAGTCAAGTGTGAGTCAACCAGTGATTTAAAGTACTGAATGCAAGGTTGAGAGACATCTCCTTAGTTTTGAAAACTTTTTGCAGTTGGACCTTTTCCTTCACTTCCCAGTGCTGGTGGGCACCTCAGTGCATGTCAATGCAATTGCTTTAAAGCTTTTGATCAGACTATTCCTAATATGTATTTTTCTCATCTTTTTTGATGAAGATTAGAAGAAAACTCCAAATACCCAATCAGTCACTTAGCTCACAGAATTTAAGGTTAAAGTCCTTTTTTACCACCAAGGTATTTTTCAAAAAGTACTTCATGTCATGTCATGCCTTTTCAGCTTAATGTTATAAAAACTCCAGATAGCTTCTGAAGTTTTTATTAGTAAGAAAGATTTGAGTCTTGTCCAAATGGAGACATCTCCATGTGCTGTCACACATGGATTATTTTTAGTATGTCATGCCTTTTTTTTTTTTTTCTTTGTTTTTTTGTTTTTTGTTTTTTAACCTTGGGATATAGATGAACTCTTGTAGAAAAGTACCTCATGTTCGAAAGCGTCTTTAGTGCAATTTTTACCTGGGTAAGTAGTTGAAAAACATTAGTCATGGTTCTCACTAGTAAGGGCTTTGTGGTTTAGTAGACAAACTACTGTGCTTATATTAGTGCAATAAATGGGCATTACCTTACTGAAAGCAGCAATTTTTAGACACTGAGTTGGGATTTTAGGCATTAACCTACCCAGACATGGTGTTTTCCTGTTTATTTGTGACCTGAAGCGAGAATACCAAGCAGTTACCAGTTTCAGTCTACTGAAACTGCAAGCTGAAGACATAGAAGCCAAGTTAAGTAAGTGCAAGAGACAGGGATGTCTGTATGCTTAATACCCTCAAATTTCAGAGACCCCTTCAGATCAAGTGACTTGTCAGACCTGTACAAATTTTGTAGCTATGAAAATCACAGATACAGCACCCTCCTGTGGCACCTCTGCTGTTAATGAAGTCTTCATCTTTTCCAATACACCATTTTACAAGCAGTTGACTAATGTACCCAGTATAAAATACGTATTTATGCTTACTTCTTTCACACACAATAAAGCCAGAACAGGACACTCTACAGCAGTTGCATCCTGTCACACACAGATACAAACAGACCTTCAATTTTTTTTTTTTTTTTAAGTGTGAGTTCTGAGAAGACCAAACTGATTTTCAGACCTACTTGTCCGCATTTATAGAATACTCTCAAAGTGGCTTCACCACTTCCACCACCAACAAAAAAATTGTACTCAGCAGTTAAAAATAATTCTCTTTCAGAGAGTCTTATGTAAGCAGCTTGGATTTTGGAAGGCTTCTAAAACAAAGTTCATACTTACAGGCAGTTTAGCTTCTTCAAATCAGGTCAGGGTATTTCTCAGTCTTTGCTTCTATGTTGGGAATATTTCCTTCCCTTACACTTTTAATATATTTACATTTTGCTTTTACTTAAAAGATGCTTCAAAGAAGGTTGTTGTCAAGCTAATCAGTTGTCTGTTACCTGCTATTCTGAAAGACAACAAAGCATTCTTTCTGTTTAGTTATGTTCTGTGCATTACAAATTAATAGATTAAGACATGAATTATTGCAATACTAAGCACATAATACTACTCTCAGATTTTATCAAGCTGTGCACATGTGCAGTAGAAGAAAAAGGGAGCAGAACAATACCTGCCCAAACACAACATTTACATTCTACAACATTTAATTTACTTGAGTTTGGTTTCATTTGGTCCTTTTGTTATGATCGAATATTTTTTGGGTTTTATATTGTTTTTAAACTAACACCACTATTCTAGGGATGTCATATTCAGGTTAGTTGGGCAGGCTATTAATATTTAGCACAGCTTATCTGGATGCCAGTGCTCTGTGTGTATTTTGAAATGTATTTAGGAAATGCAACAAAAACTAAGAAGGAAACACCTGGAGTTAGAAATTGCTTTCTCTATCTCTACGCACAAAATATCTATGCAAGATACATGCATTATACATCCTCATGACTTTATGCTAAGCACAACTGGTAGCATGCTGTGTAAATACTGTACCTACTACAGCATAAACATTTTTCAGTGCTAAAATGAGGAAATAAAAATGAAATGCTATCAATCCCAAACTGTACAAGTTATCTATACAGGCAAAAGCTGCCTGCCACCTCAACTATAAAGTGATATATGTTTTGGATTTTTTTATTAATATTATTTATTTTATTTTGCCAGGTTGTGGTAACTGGGGAAGGAGGGTGGCTACAGGGGTGGCTTCTGTGAGAAGCTGCTGGAAACTTCCTCCACCCCCTGTAGCACCAATCCCAGCTGACTCTCAGACAGATGGGGATTGCTGCCAAGGCTGGGCCAATCAGAAATGGTGGTAATGCTCCTGTGAAAACAGATTTAAGAAGGAGGGGGGAATATGATTGCATAGATGTAACTGCGGCCAGAAAAGAACAGGGTGAGAACACGTGAGAGGAACAACTCTTCAGACACCAAGGTCACTGGAGAAAGAGAGGGAGGAGGTGTTTCATGCACCAGACCTGAGATTCCCCTGTGGCCCATGGTGTGGCCCATGGTGAGGCACCTGTGCCCCTGCAGTCCATGGAAGTCCATGGGGATGCAGAGATCCACTTGCAGCTGGTGGAGGAGCCCCAGGCTGGAGCAGGTGTATGCCTGAGAGGAGGCTGTCACCCCATGAGAAACCTGTGCTGGAGCAGGGTCCTGGCAGGGACCTGCACACCTGTGGAGAGAGGAGCCCATGCTGGAGCAGGTTTCCTGTAGGTTGTGACACTGCAGGGGACCCACACTAGAGCAGCCTGTCCATGAAGGACTGTGCCCTATGAACAGTGACCCACATTCAGCAGTTTGTAGAGAACTGTTGCCCATGAGCTGGACTGAGATGTTGGAGAAGCTCATGGAGAACTGTCTCACATGGGAGGGACCCCCTGCTGGAGCAGGGGAATAACTCTCCCTAAGCAGTGGCAGAAAAAACTTGTGATGAACTGATCATAACCCCTATTCCCTGTCCCCCTGCGCTGATGGGGATAGGAGGTAGAGCTAAAAAGGAGGGAGGAGTAGGGGGAAGGTGTTTTTATGGTCTGTTTTTACTCCCCATTATCCCACTCTGATTTTGTTACTTATAAATTCAGCTAATGTATCTAATTCCAACCTGTTTTTCCCATGACAGTATTGGATGAGCAGTATCTCCCAGTCCTTATCTCAACCTATGAACCGTTTTTTGTATTTTCTTGACCCTGTCCAGCTGCAGAGGGGAGGGATACAGTAGCTTTGGTGGGTGCCTGACATCCAGCCAGGGTCACTGAACCAAGAAGAGAATTAGGCAGCTTTACAAAACCAGCCATTTTGCAGTCATATTCCCAATATTGAAGGCACACATTTTGAGTTATTTAAATGATAACTGTCAGTTCAGATAATCACATCATAACTTTTAGGTTTTTTGGGGTTTTTTTTTGAATCAGTTACATTTTCTAGCAGGAGTTTGATAATCAGGCAAGGCAGTTTTGCAGACAATCCTCTCAGGTCACTTGATCCACAGCAAAGGAAGAAAGCAGCAAAATGAAGATACAACCTTCAGGCACACATGCCCTTCCAGTCCAAAATGCAAGCTGCAGATTTCAAATACAAGTTATCTAAGTGCTCATCTGAAATAGGTAGATGATAAATCTGAAGAGAGAATTTTAAAGAGAGATGGATAAAGGGGCAAGGGGGAGAAGTGGGGAGAGGTGAACAAAGAGAAACATTGTAACATAATGTTAAACCAGTAAGCGTGGGTTTTCTTTCATCATTAAAGATGAAATAAAAAATCTATCCTATCTATGAAGCGTGTTCTTGCTATATTTTCAGACAAAACTAAAACTTCTCCTATTAAAAAACAGCTCAGTGTTTTTACCACTAGAAAGCTAGTTTAGTTGACAGTAGTTACTGGTAAATATTGATTCTACTTCAAGAAGTAAGCTTAAGTAAAGGCTCAGTATGGAATTTAGGTCAAACTTCATCTCCTGCTGAAATTGCAATGAAATTTTTCTTCAAATGTAATGTCTCTTAGTTTGTAACATGCAACTGAAATACTTAAAAAGGGTGAGCTGAATGATGTCTCAAGAAAGCATTTGTGCTAGTTAGATTCATTGACTTAGTGTCTTGGTAAAAACTGTTCTCTTCTCCACATCACCCTTGCCCTTCATCTGACAGACTTTTTAGATGTCATGGACTGTATTCTCAAAAAGATCTGCCTACTGAATGATGAGGGAGTCTGAGCTTTTTTTAAATTCAAGGTCCCAGTAAGGCACACTTAAGTTGAATTTGTTTCTTTGGAAATCCTAATAATCACTGTGAAGTAACTGTAAAAAAAGCGGAGATTATTATACAGAAACTACTTGCTCTCTATCCTTCCTTACCAAAGTGTCCTGTAACCTCCCTCTGCCTGAAGGTCAGAATGAAATGATTAACAGAGGCAAGTACTTGCTTGGGACAACGGGTCAAGATGCCTCCTTGCCCATCTCACCCTCCCTTTAGGTGCCTCTCTGTACAACAGTTACAGGTAAGGAAGGTCATGCAACAGATGATGAGGATGAAGGTCCCTCTCCACCTTGATAACCAGAGGTGTTATCAAGGCCAGACAGGCCTAGAGCTCATAACAAGATCAGTTCCATGAGGAAGAAAATAATGGTTGTAGTAGTAGATGGTTCCCTTCTCAGGGGAATGGAAGGTCCAACATGCTTGGAAGGATATTCCCCTCAAGGAAGTTTGCTGCATCCCTGGGGTCAAGATTAAGGAAGTCACCAGGAAATTTCCCAGCCTGGTACAGTGCTCAGACTACTACCCACAACTGATCCTTGATGAGAGTGGTGATGAAATCACAACATATAGTCAGTCCAAAGGCCATCACAGACTTCAAAGCCTTGGGACAATTGGTGAAGGAATCAGGAGCACAGGTTATTTTTTCCTCCACTGTTCCACTTGCAGGCAGTGACTGAAATAAACAAATGGATTAAGTCTATTAACATGTGGGTCTGAGGCTCATGTCACTGCCAAAATTTTGGGTTGTTAACAGTGGGATAGCTAAGATAGCACCAATCTTGCTGGTATCAGATGGGATCAGAAGCATCACCTCTCTCAAAAGGAAAAGAGGGTCATTGGTAAAGGGTTAGCAGGAGTCATTGACACAGTTTTAAACAATTTATGACTGGGAGGAGGGAGGTATCATGCTATTTAATAGTGATAAGGTATGGGATGATTTGCCATCCTACTTATATCAGTTAGATGCCAGAGCCAGCAAGAGACACCCAGAGTCTGGAGAGGAATTGCAGGTCTGCAGAACACCTGGAGGGCAGCACAAAGGGATTCCAGCCACTCCAGAGAGAAGGTAGTTTTCTGTGTGGCCCAACTTAAATGCATCTATCCTAACGCATCCGGCATAGGGAATGAAGTAGAGATATAGGCATGTCTGCATGTCTATGATCTCAATGGCATCATGGAAACATGGTGGCAATTCCTGTGACTGGAGTGTTGGAATGGAAAGATACAGTCTCTTCAGGAAGGACAGGCATCATTCATCATCATCATCATCAGGAAAGACAAAAGAGGAAAAGGGGTCAACCTCTCTGTCAATGACCACCTGGAGTGCATGGAACTCCACCTGGAATGGACAAGGAGCTAACTTAGAGCTTTTGGGTGAGGATTAAAGGGGGGGCAAGCACAGGTAATTTTATAGTAGAGGCCTGCTACAGGCCACCAGGAATACCAATGAAGCCCTCCACAGGCAGAGAAGAAAAGCCCCACATTCACAAGCCCTGGTCCTTATGGGGGATTCCAACCACTGCAACAGGAAAGTGTTGATTGGATTGAGAGGATCCTGCAGAGGTGGGGCCGTCAGTCCTATTCTGAGGCAAATTTGTTTTCCTTCATAAATTGTTAAGCTTGTAAGTCTGCCTTGAGACTCATGCTGAGTGCACCTGTGTTAAGTGTCAAGTTTCAGACACCTCACTAAAAGGGGCTCCAGGACACCACAGTCCACTAATTCCCTCATTTCCTGGAGGGCTCTAAATAACTGACTGCACACATGTGAACAAATGGCACCAAAAAAACCTATTTCAGGTAAACCATAAAAGGGGATTGGTCCTCAGCATTGTGTCTGTCTCTCTCTGTTTCTCTCTCTCTGTCTCTCTCTTCCACCTTTTTCTCTCCTGTTTTATCCCAGCAATCATATTCTACCACTTACTGAACACCTTAAGTTTATTGTGACATTTGGGAGCTAGTGTGAAAGTGTTATAGAAGTTGGAGAGCTTGTTAGCCAACTTTTTACAGCTAAATAGTAGGCTAATTGCTGGAGTTAAGGCTACTGTATAGACATGTGAACTTCGTTGAGACAGACGAGAATTTACAAGAAACCTCACACACACTTGTGGGTTGTGACAGCCTGTTGAAGGCTCAGGACAGTAGAACACGTGTATTCCCAGAGGTTCATTGATGACAACTGCCCTCTCCAATTGATAAAGGAGCCAAAGAGGAGAGGTGCTAGGCTGAATCTTGTTCTCAGCAACCAGGAGCTGATGGGGAATGTGGAACCCAAAGGCAGGCTGGGCTGCAGTGACTATGAAACAGTGGAAACTGAGATCCTTGGGGCAACAAGGAGAGTGAGAAGCAAGATAATTATGCTGGACTTCAGGAGAGGTGAATTTGTCCTCTTGGAGGATCTCTCTGGCAGAATACCATGGGACAGAGCCCTGAGTGTAGAGGGCTGGATGACATTCAAGGATTGTTTCCTCAAGGCTCAAGACTAATGCATCCCACCAAAGAGAAAATTAGAAAATAATGTCAGGAGGCCTGTATGGATGAACAAGGAACCCCTAAACAAATTCAAAAGACAAATAGGTCTTACAGAGCATAGAAAGAAGGAAAGGTAGCATGGGAGTAATACAGAGAAATTGTCCAAACAGACAGGGAGATGAAATTATTGCTGTTGTTATTATTAGCATGAGAGGGACAGAGAGAGGAGTAGAACCCGAGAGAAACAAATGATGCACAGTACAATGGCTCAGCACCCACTGTCCGATCCCCAGCCTGCTGCCTTCACTGGCAAATGTTTCAGCCACACTGCCCTAGTTGCAGAAGGTAAAAGCAGGGAGATGGTCAGGAAAGCTAAATCATTGACAGAAGTAAATCTGGCCAAGAATATCAAGGGTAACAAAAAACTTCTTTAGGTACATGTCAGGGTCAGCTTGGCAAGACCCCAACAGAGTGAAAGTCCTTTTTTCCCTAGCCCGACTGCTGAAGAAAAGGTCTGGAATGCGTGAAGCCAAGTTTTCAAGGTTATAATAGTTTCTCTTTGACCTGCTGAGGTCCAGCCAGCACAGAAGCCATGGCAGTCTCCTCCGAGCCCCGGGCATCTCCCACATTATATACCCAAAATTACATGTACCATGTTTACAGTTCCCGTACCAATACCTAAAATCCATGTTGGACAGTGTGTCCCTATCCTAAACCAACAGAAAAGTGTCACTATCACACCGAGACACGGAGGACAAGAAGAAGGAAGGCTAGGGCACGCCCAGATTCCTGCATCTTGTACCCCTGAATTTCATTCTAAAAAACCCCAAAATTCTACATTTCCACTCTGTGTCAATTTCTCTATTACACTACCCAAACCCTTTTGGCTTGTAATTCCTCATATAAGGTCAGCAGCCTCTCCCATGGGCTAAAATCAAAGCCACAGGTGTTTTTGACTTGCTGCCAAGGTCCCTGAGCCCCTTGCCAGGGTCTTGAGGCATCCGGGGCAGCCAGAGGGATGCTCTGGACTCCGACAGGTACATTAGCAGTAAAAGATTTGGGAAAGTGTGGCTCCTTTCAGGAGGAATTTGGAAGACCTGGTTAGATAGGACATGGAGAAGACTGAAGTATTCCATCTTTTGTCTAAGTCTTCACCAGCAAGTGCTCCAGCCACACTGCCCAAGTCACAGGTGAGAACAGGGATTGAGAAAATTAAGAACTGCACTCTGCAAAAGATCAGGTTCGAAAACATCGAAGGAACCTGAATGTGCACAAGTCAATTAAACTGACACAAAAAGCAATAAAAAAGCAGATTAATTTCAACCTTTTCTGCAATCCCCACTTCATCTAAGCTAGAAGTCCTCAACATCATCCATCTCTTATTCTCCTCCATCTACCTCACACCGCAGTTGTTAACCAGTCTTAGCACAGAGCTGGTAAATATTGCCAGAGCTTGAGTTCTCTCAAATGCTCTTAAGATGGACTGTCATCTTGATTTTTAGGTAATGACCAAACACATTGAAACAAGATGCTTAAAGATTTTTAAAGTTCTTTTATTATCTGTGCACAAGAGAAGTAACTACCAATAGAAACTCAAAAGCTATACAGTATTTTTTTACTTGGTGGTTAAAAGGAATTAGAGTACCACATGACCATGAATAGAAGTAATTTCTCAGATTACAAATCGGAATACATGTTAAACTCTCAGTGGAACAAGCCAAATAGCCATAGAAACAATTTCAGAGCACAAGGCTGTGGCTCTTTAATTTGGACAATGACAAAAGTAATTTACAATAATCTGTGAATATTGAAATAATGTTATAATGAAAGTTTCTGTACAGTTAAATGTAAAGAGACTACCAGAACTGGACTCTAGTATATTTTAACTTAAGTTGCCTAAGCATTTTGTCTCAGATAGTTACCAAAGATCCTGGGCAATTCTACATCAAATTCAAGGTCTATGATTTTTTTTTTTTGGTCTGTTTTTTTGTGGTTTTTTGGGTTTTTGGTTGTTTTGGAGTTTTTTTGGGTTTTTTTTGGTGGGGTTTTTTGTTGTTGCTTTGGGGGGGAGGATTTGTTTGTTTTTTCATTGCTTACAATTTCACTCTACTGTATAGTGTAGATCTCTAGAAATGAGCTGTCTCTGTTGTATATATTGTGTTTATACCTTAGACAAATAAAGTAAAAGATGGTAGATTACTCAAGTGGTATAAATCTTCCAGCATTTTGCTAGTCAAGAAAAAAAACATGCCAAAATCACAATAAGCAGTATTGGTACCCACAGCTTCAATTCATTTGTTTCCTTTTTAATGTGCAATCTACATAAATTACTACTGAACAATACTGTTTAAGTAGTAAATAAATTGGCCATTTGTAGGTCAGACAAAACTTGTTCATCCAACTGTGAAAGCTGATATTGTTTCCAAAAAAATCACAAATAATGCTGAACATAAGAACTGATGCACTTAGAGGTGAAAATGCATTGATTCCCAATGTCTGAAGAAAACTACTGCACTCCACCTTCAAATACATCAGACTGGTTTTAGTTATAACAAGACAATCCCAAAAATCAAAATGAAATAAAGCAATTTGAAAGATTAAAGAGCTGTTATCAAAAATAAATTACATTTTTTTCAAGTTAAAAGAAACACTGCTATGAAGGCTGAGAGCTAAGCAGCCTTTCAATAGCTGCATTGATGTCTCCTCCTGTTGCTATTAGTGCTTGTAAATTTGCTTCACGGTTCGGGAAGCCCATTGCACTCAGCTGTTCCAGTTGTTGCTGAAATCGAACTTCTGGATTTTGTAACTGCTAAGAACAAAATTTCAAGCTATAAAAGCATAACACATATTTAGCAAAATACACAATTTAAACATAAGTGGGTTCTGCGCCACTCTGTGTTTTCTAATTTTTGACTACACCTTTTTCAAGTTCCAAAAAATATATTCAAATAAATTCAATTAGCAACTAAAGAATTTTTTTTTCATAACAAGTCAGCAACTTCAAATTATCTACACTTATATACCATTCCTGAACTCCAGGAAAAACTGACCAATAGAGGAGGATTCAAATTAAATTGGGTACACGAACAGTTTCTCAAATATATGCATATAGCTGTTTTTTAAAACAAAACACAGTTCAACCTAGCAATGTGGAACAGCAAAGATTATGTTGTTGTTAGCAATCTTGAACATCACAGGATTTATTTTTCCTTGTGAAGTGACATAAAGATCACTTCTTTTGTAACACTCCCAAGCACCTATTGACTAAAACTACCAAAATCCTGATCATTAGAAAGCTTGAGTCTAAGGCAAACTCTACTTTGTAGGAAGATCCTGTTTACACAATCATGGCAAAATTCTGCTTTGTCTTAATATGACCTTCAGAGGCATGTTTTTAATCAGGTCAGAGGATGTTTTTTCAGTATTCACTTGCACAGCTGCAATAGCACTTTTAAGCCTCCTCTACTGACCTTTGACCGAAGCATCCAGTGGGCTCTCCCCTCAACTATCTCTCTTCTCTCCAGTGTTTTACAATTAAGAATAAAAGTAAAAATATCTAGTCTATAATGATGTACATTACCTGAGCATTTGCACCAGCAAGTGCCTGCAACATCTGGTGGACAAACTGCTGGTGACCAGGTTCAGCAGTTCCTGAAGCTGGACTTGTATTTTCAGAGGAAACAGAACTAGGTACAGTGGATGCTGTAGGAGCTCCGCTGCTTCCCACTCCACCCAAATCAGGATTAAACCTGTATAAATTACAGAAAAAGAAATACACCACTTGAATAATAAAGACTAGTTTGTCTCTTCTCATTAGTTAGTGGGTAAAAATTCTGTCAAAGAGAAGATAACAGTTTGAATAAAGTATTGAGAAAAAGACCAGATTTATCACTGTTTAGGATTACACAGCAGACAAATGTGACAGATTCTAAAACAAATTTGGTTGAACTAAAAGAGGCAAGGAGATTAATCTTTAATAAAGACTGTATCAATCTCTAAATCTAAAAAGAATAACCAACACAAGGGAAGACTTCCTGTCCAAATTTGTAAGATCAATTCTTACCCTGGTAGAAGCCCCGGTACTTCTGTTGCTAATGTATGCAAGCCCTGCTGAATCTGCATCAGAGCCTGAATTGCTCTGGGGTTTGACATAGCTGATAATACGTCAGGATCGTCTATCTAAGAGAAGGAGAGAAACTCTTTATTATATGTACATGTTCCAAGGTAATTTTTATTACTAGATGTCTCATAGCATCTGACATAATTTCATGATTTTGTAGTTGAATATTACAGGAAATCCTTCAGTTATTTTTTTTTCCTTTGAGAAAACTTCCATGAAGGTAAGCAATGAGCTCTCTAGAAGTAGAAAAAGCCTTTTGAACAAGGATTATGCAAGAAGTATTTTACATCACAGATCTCAATCTTTCAAAGGCACAAGACTGTGTTAGTACATTATTTTAGAATTAGTCTCCTATATCATACTACTGGTAAGCAACAATGCTGAACATGATGAAACTTGACCAAAAAATACCTCAGAAAAAGTACTAAGTTCCTTTTTCCTAGCTGATTTCAGATCACAGCAATTTGATGGTGACTATTTGCATATATCTTCCTATCTGTAGTGCTCTTATAGCCTGAAATGCCAACAAATATACTGGAAAATATACCAGCAAGCAAATGGATATTCAAGGATTCTCAGTCTACTGTGACTTCAATTACAAATTGGCTTTCACATAGTCAAATAATTTAGAAAGCAAATTCTTTTCATTTCTGAAATGAAACATCTAAAATCCTCATTATTTTAGATACAAACACAAAACTAGTGGCTTATGCTCAGCTTTGCACAGAGATGCAACAGGTAAGTGAAAAGCAATGTGTCAGTTACAAATAACAGAGCTTTGGTAATCAGACCAAAGAGCAGATAGGCTTACTAATCTTAGCAGTTTCCCCCTGGCAACTAGATCAGGCTGCTTTTGATGAAAAATCACATTTGATTAATGTAGAAATCACAGATTAAGGTGAAACTTCCTCTACTGAAGAGCAGAACCACAGAATAGGACATAAAGAACACTGATCTGAGTGCCTAAAGACACTTCAGAAGAGCAATTAATATTCTCCATTCATCCCTTGAACTGTAATCTTCACGATAGCTAAAAGTCAACAAATAAATTTATAGTAGATGGAAAAGATTACTCAAATTTAAAGAAATAAACATTTTGGGGTCTCCAAAGAAAGCTGCCGCAACTACTTTATGAAAATATTTAAATCTTGACTTACTGTCTGCTATTTGAAGCTGTCTTACATAAATGCTTGCCCAACAATTCTTAGAGCACTTAGATGACCTGGATCTCATCTCTATTAATGTTATTAATTCCAGTAGCAGCCATTCTTCCCTAGTTCTGCTGGGCAATTGCCCTTAATTGCAAAAGATGCCTTCCATTATGCATATTCCATGGTTTCTGTCTCCCAGTCCCATAATATAAACACAGATAGATAAGTAAGAATACACAAGTTGAAATATTACCAACATTCTGAGAATATCCAGATAATTCTCCACTTCACATCTCACCTGCTAACGATCATCTAACTTCAGACAGTGAATACAACAGAAAACTATTTGTGCAGATAAATTCCAAGGTGATAGCAACAGAAGGAGCTACACAAAGGAAACAGATATGATTCCTAGTGTGCCTTCATTAATTACCAATTACTAACAGATTTCTAAACATAAATATACGCTAGTATTCTCAGATACTACTGAATCATTACAAAGCAGTGGCAATATGAAACACCACAGCCATTCATGTGGTTCAAACAGTATAAACAATATCTTCTGAACACTGAACATGCTACTGTAATTCATGTATGTGCTCATTATTTTACTCATAAAACCTCCCGTGTGCAGTCAGTTCTTGGCAAAGCATATTCACACTAATTTGCAAGGACTGCCCAACTCATGCAGTGGATTGGGTTTTCAATCCCTACAAAAATCTTACTTGCTTCTCTTTAGGAAACACAGTACTACTACACACTGTGGCAATTAACACCAAGTAGATACCTGGGCTGCAAACACAGCGTTGGTATGAGCAGAAGACAAGAGTAGAGCAATCTTTCCAGGAAAGACTTCAGAACCAATTCTTTTAAATTAGCTAATGACTTGGGTCTTTCAAGACATGCTCTAGGACCTCTTTTCCAAATATTTAATGCAAGTTTGAAGAGGTAGGAGAAAAGCACACTGAAACTTTAACTAGTAGTGTGAAAAGTACTGTTCTTTTTAATTTCTGAAACAAATCTTGTCACAAACAGGTGTTTTCTGGCTGGTTTGCAATAAGAGCATTTATTCCTTCTAAGCAAAAAATCAAGAACAAATCTTAGTGGTTGTGCTAGTCATAGACAACAGCTGGGTTTAACTTTTGAAAGAGATGGAGACATTAGCAAGAATATTATCAAGGGACAGTCTAACTTAGTATCTATAGCTAATGAGAATATATTACAGAATCTAGCTATTAGCCAAATCAAGGACAGGCATCAGTTACTAAAAATATTGCTCATTGACTTGAAGACCTTTATTAAGAGCTAGTATCTCATCTTACTTGCTGAAGCAAAGTTGGAAGTAGTTGTACCATTTGTTCCTGAAGTTGAAGATTTCCAACAAATATAGGATTATTCAACATTATCTATAGGAAAAAAATATTTAACTTCAAAGATCAAGCAGTAAAAACCACTGGAGGTTTTAAAGCAACTACAGATAATACAGTAATAGTCTATGAAAATTACCTCATAGAATAATAATCATCTACTCCTTTGGACAAAATTTTTTGGTGGTGTTGGTCTTTTTTTTTTTTCCTTAACTTTTGCATCATTGGGGTTTTCTAACTTGTAAGTGAATGGATTTCCAGATACAAATAAGCCAGTTTTGCCAAGTATTACAAGAAAATCCTTTTCTGTTCAGCCTCCACTACAAATCTAAGAAATATTTAGCCATAAATATCATTTGAAGTCAAGGATATTTCCAAGTATTTAACACAGAAGAGGTAATATTTTTTCAATGTCAGTTCAGAATTTGACTTTCAATATTACCACTTTAAATAAAAATGCAAAGCACTTCTACAACAACATTCATAAAACAGCACCTCCACTTTTACAGCGAGCACAGGTCAGAAATGAGAAGTTAAAACCAGAGTAGTATCCAGATAGGGCACCAAGTCCCCTCCTTCACTTCTCCCAGACTAGAGGGGGAATTTATTTACTGTTAGCTCTACCTTAATTCATAACCAAAGCACTTGTCTGTCTGTTTCTAATGCTGGATCAAAAGTTTAGGGCTGTGCAAAACATACACAACCACACAAGTGATTTTTGAAGCATGTCAGGCATGACATCCAACTAAAGCTGGAGAAATTGAAGAAACTCAAGGCAACAAATTGTTCATAGTAAGTAATAATTTCAGTGACTTAGGAATTAACAATAAAAACTGGCCCATTTGCCACAGGCAATTGTTGAGGTTTTGGGTTTTGTCTTTTTTTACTTCAATAGCATACAATATATTACTTTACCAAACGCAATTTACCTGTACTGCAAGATCAGGATTCTGGCTTAATGATTGCATAATGCTCCTCATGTATGGTGCAGACAACATATTCTGCATAAGTTGTGGGTTTTCTGTTATCTGCTGTAATAAGCTCTGCATTCCTGGTGTGTTGAACATACCAGCTTAAAGAAAAGGTAAAGGGCACATTAGTAAGCATTCTGATTATCATCAGAGAAAGTACACTATCAAAACCCAGAATATAACCACTTGGTTTTCATGAGTTTAAGAACCTGAAACTTACCTCAGTGAGGTTCTGCTTACAGAGACATAGCTATCCTAGAAGTTAAGACAGACATTGTACCCAACACACACTCTCACCAAATATCCACATTATTAGCTGTTTTCCCACTTGCCTTAGAACATAAAAAATACTATAATTCATCTACAGATTCACTACCTTTGTTATTTTAAGGCAGTGTAAAAGTATCATTATCGCTTAAATTATTTTTCATATTTTTTTATTTTTCCTCTTTTTCTTCAGAGGACTTTGGTAATACTAAAATGTTCTACAAAAGTAAATAGCAAAAAAACTCAATCAAAAACTCTCTTCCTAATGAAATAATAATTTCAGTAAGTTTGCAAGTATGTGCAAATATACACAGTTGCAATAACAAACACACCTCCAAGCCCAGGTCCCAAATTCGGCCGAGTTGAGCTCTGTCCTGTTGTGCCTGAAGTGCTATTTTCAACATTGCTGCTGTCACTGCTCTCTCCAGTAGTGGTGGTATTTGTTGTGGAAGTCTGTGAGCTGGACTGAGGAGCCCACGGATTTGGCAGAGGATCTCTATTTTCTGTACGAGATGGCTGATTGTTCCCTCCTGCTGATGCATTGCTTACTAAAGAAGCAAATGGGTTACCTCCAAACTACAAAGGAAAGGAAACACTTATCATGTACAAATTTCTAATCATACGTGAAAATAAACTTTTATGGCTTCCAATCAGTTAGACTCACCTGTAATAAATACAAATATTGTGAAAAGAGACTAAACTGAGATACTAGGACCCCCCTAAAAATGAAATAATGTTTCTTTTTGAAAGTAGTGTTGCTACTGCATTGTATTTTGTTCACAGTAAAATTGTCTTGCATACTGGTTTCTGACTTTAAAGTCTTTTATTCTTCTCACCTTTAGTTCAAAATTTCTAAACACACCCTTAAAAGGATTTTACTGGACCTCCAAATGTTAAGGCAGTGATTTAAAGGAACTAACAATTAAATAACAAACAAATCTATTAACTTTAAAATAGCTTCTCAATCACATAAAGTGATAGCTGTATTTCTTCAAGCTCAGAAGAACACAGGATTTTTAAAGCTCTTTCAAGAGTAAAAGGCTACATAACTTAAAGTTTCAAGAATTGTTTTGTCAAGTAAACATCTGGAAATTTGAATTACTTAAATTCTTTTACGCAAAAAAAAAAGTATTTCCTTTTTGTGTAATTTGTAATCTTTTCTCACCTGTTCCTGTGCTGCATTCAGTATTGGCTCCTGAATGTCTGTGTACATACGCCGCAAGGCATTGTATCCCCCTGGTATACTTTCAAGGTTGCTCAACGCTCGGTCCTGGTTTCGCATCATTTCCTGCATCATTGCGGGGTTTCTAGCAAGTTCTAGTGTCTAGAGAAGTGGAACGTTTAATCTGTATTAATAAGAAATCCATTCTAAAGTGAAAACGTCAGCATTTGGCAATTTCGCATTTATCACTGTCTAACCCAGTTTAAAATTATGATTAAAGCTGAATCAACCTGTCAGCTCAGTGTGAATCAACACAATTGGGTATTTAGCCAGCATTCTACCATAATTCTTACTATTTCTAACACTGCTACAGCAGGCAGCCTGTAGCATGAAATTTAAAATGAATACATACAATTTCAAAAGCATCTATTATTCTCTTCAGGTTTTGATACGTTTTGCCACATAACGTATCTTATCTTTTAACTTAAAAAGCATTTAGAAGTACCCACAGTAAGACACAATGAAAATATGCAGTATTTTGGAGAATTACGACTTATGGTAAAATTGCTAGCTAGACAACAGGTTTCAAGGGCAGACAGCCACATCCAGTTATAGCCTCAAAGGGCATGTATTCAGTGACTTTCAAAAATTATGCTACAGATTTTCTGAAATATCAGTCTATTTTGGACATTAACAAAAAATGTAGACACTGGCTGTCTATGGCAACCTTTTGTGGATTTTGAGTATAAGAATGTTTACACACTCCACTAAGCGTGTCCAAGTCCTACCCTGTTGTTTACATAACAGCAGAATCACAAGTCATGAACTAATAGATCTTTCTACATACCTGTCTCATTATATCTGGATTATTCAGCATGTGACTGATTTCTGGATTTCTCTGCATCAATTGCTGCATTTGAGGGTTAGCCATAATTAACTGCCTCATCAGGTCGGGGTTTGAAAGCATTGTCTGAACAAATGGACTCTCCATCATCTGAATCAGCAATTCTGGGTTGATCATAAGTTGTCGTTGCATCAGACTTTGCAACTCCGAGAAGTTTGGAGTATTTAAGCCCAGGCTACTCAGGCCTGCCAAACCTCCAAGGCCACCTTTATGAGGATGAAAAAAAGGATGTGACTGACTATACTTCCAATCACATCCAGATTAATTCTAAATACAAAATACCTGAACATATCTCATACTTCAAAGTAACAAAAATGAATGGAAAGTCCCATCTTTTGCAAGGATGTTCAGGAGTTCTCACTAAGTATATGCTTCCTTAAATAACAAGACGCATAACTAAAAATTCAACAAACTTTATTCTTAAATAAAATTTGTTATAATTCTAACAACTTTTCTTCTCATTTTTGAAAGCCAAGATACAAGAAATGTTTCAGTTTGGGAGCTTTAGGTCCATGTCCTGCTCCCTCCAGCAACACTTAACAATTGCATTTGTAATAATAATTTATCTGTCTCTTCGTGGTCAGACTATAACTAAGAGCAAAATCCAGTATGAGTAATATTCCCTATTCTAAATGCAGAACCTGTGTTCCTCTTGGTAATAATGCACCAAGAGCTAATTACATTTTGATTTTTTGTGCTTTGCTGAATCCAGATAAAAAGTTTCACAAGGTACTACACAAAGAACTACTAAAACCTAAGAAATCATCTACTTACTGTAATTGTGTTTTCCAAGTCTACCTCTTCCCCGCTCCCAAATGCAAAAAAAAAGGACAAAAAAGAACAAAACCCCACCGCAACTATGGAAATAGGTTATAATTTTTAAGTCAATAGACTGCAGCCTCTTCATTCATAGAAGTGAAGACTCATAACACTATCAGACTTGAAACCTGAAAATACTTAATTGTAAGATTAACATAAATTCTGTTGCTTTTATTGCAGATCTTGGCTTCACGTTAGAGGTCCAAACTTCTATGATTCATCTATATTCAGATAAGAGGAATTCAGGTGCACTTTTAAGTAGTACAAAGACCCTGGAAAGCATTTCATTACCCATAGTAATGCCAAAATATAGCATCAGTAGCACCTTACCACTGAAGGTGAAACAATACAAATTTTGTAGTGAAATTTGTGGTGAAACACTGGCACAGTTTATCCAGGGAGGTGATGGATGCCCCATGGGGCATTCCATCTCTGAAAACATTGAAAGTCAGGCTGGATGGGGCTCTGAGCAACTTAATCTAGTTAAAGATGTCACAACTAATTGCAAAGACATTGGACTAGATCACCTTAAAAGGTATCCCTTCCAACCTTAAAAGGTATCCCTTCCAACCCAAACTATTTGATGATTCTATATAAAACTAATGAAACAAATCTCCTCTGGTAACTGACTGATCAGAAACCTTCTACAGCCAATTCAATATATATCTGTAATCAGTTTTTTGACTGATGTGTTTGTTTGGGTTTTGTTTTTCAAGTTCTGTCTACATGGTAGTAAAGCTTTGAGGACTATTATCAGAATACAAAAAGATACCCACCATACCTAACAAATATTCTTACCCAAGCCAAATGGATTACTATTTGTTGATGCTGGTGTTGAGGTGCTACTGCTTGATGTTGATGTGGTAGGAGTACTCCCAGTGGTGTTTGCCTGCTGAGTTGGGGGGTCTTGTGATCTAAAAAAAAAATTTTAAAACTTTATAGAGTGTAACAAGTTATTTTAAGTAGTGCCATTAAATGTAGCTATAGTATTACACTTCAGAATCTTGAATTACATTTTGATTCTTTGTCAAAACCCAGTTATCTCTAGATGGTTTCCTGTAATAAATCTTTCTCAGATACCTGTCACATCATCAGTTTTTCAGAACAGTAGTTTCCAACTGTAAAAAACCAGATAGGTATCACTGCAGCCATTACTACCTTCTTATCCTACCCCATGATGCTTGCCAATGAATTGTTTTCTCTGTCCTTATCTTGCTTTAAGAATCCATGTCTTATTTCACTATACTCACATACTACTGATAACATGCCCAAATCTTCAAGAAATAAAGCCTGACAAATTTAATGCAGAATTTGTTTCATGCCACATCTCTAATAGGATGCTTTATTGAATGTGAAATTCAGTTAATGTCATATTTTATTAGAAGACAAATCTCTAACTCTCAATAACCTTTAGGACTTCAATGAAAGACTGATAATGAAATCACATGAAGCTAAAGCCAGCATATTTTAGCATAGGCACTAAAGGCTGCCCCGGCTGTGTACTCACCACACCCTTCTATTGCAGGCAGAAAGACAAATGTTGCCATGAAGTAAAAGAGATCATGGAACTGAGCTTGAATAAAGGTAACCTGACCTCTCTATTCTAAAGAAAAGAGACTACTTAGAAATCTAAATAAATTCTTAATTGTGGTTCAACAATCAATAAATAGCTGTATTTGCAGTACTACAGAATAAAACATTTTTTAAAACTATGAATTCAGACGTCATAAAAAGATTTGAGAATTTGACTCCATACTTCAGTTCACCTTGGGGGACCTTTCTCCTACAACATAAGTCTGTACTTGCTCCACTCAAGCAAACATCAGAACTATACCAAAACTCAACTACATCAAAAAAAAATCAGAAAGATGCTTTAAATGCAGATATTCTCCTGGGGTTTCTAAGAGTTCTTTAACTTCATTATCAGCAACTGAAAACTTTGAACACAAGATGACTATAATCAGCCAAGCAGCTGTAACTTGAATGAGAAAAATTATAGACTGTATCCTGATCGTGATTATCCTGCTAGAGATATTTGTTTTCCTTTAGTCTAAAGAACACAAACATCTTTCCTCCACAAGCAAAAGAAAAATAATAAACATCAATCCTATTTGTATTTTCAACTGAGAAACTATTTTTAGAAGCAACTACACTGCTTCATGTAATAGACATGAAAGGTTCTTAAAAGTCTGACAAGAAAAGTAGATGACACTGAAAACTGAAGTTCAATAGTGCTCCTATGCAAACTGGGGCATATTCTCTGAAGATGATGGTTCATATGAGTGCCAAGCCTGTGAGCCTCCAGTCTTCCAGCGATGTTCCTGTCAAGTGCACATTGCCTTTTATATCCATTTTGTCATTATGTTTCCTCCCAGCACTTGTGAACAAATGATACCTGTTGACCTAGAACTCTATTCAGAAATTCTATGTTATCTCCACTGCCCATTGCTAATCCCTCACTGCTACTCTGACACTATACAAGATAGGTGACAAGATTGCACTAAAAGTCTGTAGCAGTCTGGAAAATGTAGCACAGTAAAAAAAGTAATCTTTTTTTTTTAACAAGCATTTGGCTGGGATAGAAGAGGTTCCCTTTTTTGAAATTACACACCTAGCATAGCTTAGAAGGGAAAAGATCACTTTCAGATCCAGTTTTAGAAAATAACTGAATATTACTTATTCAGACACACACCGGCAACAGTAACAGCAAGACTCAACAGAAAAGTAAATGGCATACCATAAAGTAGGTGGGAACAAATCAATCTTGATACTCATGGCCAAAAATCAGCATGTTCCAGACCACACTGGCAGGGTCTAAATCTTGTCTTTCAAGACAAGCATCAAATACAGATATTTTAGCAAGAATACAACTGAGATATTTCACGACAATGCTATACTTTCTCAGAAGTGATTTTCATTTTCTCCAGCAGCTTTCAGCACGTTTTTAGTTTATTCAAGCAAAGCTAGAAGGTGAAAACTTTGATGCACCATTTGAGCACAACACAGGTACATGCAAAGGATCTGTAGTTCTTAGTTCATACTTCATTTTCCCAGACATGATTAAAACATTCTGCAGATAGTAGAAATACAGTCTTCTAAAATGATTCAAAAAATAGCAGGTACAAAGGAAGACATGGAGTGCAATGCTGATAAGACAGATGCAGGAACACCAAAAATTCCCCAAAAGACACACATTTGACATTTGTGTTCCTAAGGGTTCCTCTGCTTAGAGGCAAAGTGCAAGAAGGTCTAAGAGGCTGACAGTGGTATTTCAGTATGTATAGCTATAGTAGGTCCAAACTATAAACTCTCTGAATACTGTGCAAGTCAAAAGAAGCATCTTCCTAGAAGCACTCATGGTGCCACTCTGCCACACTTAAGACTGCAGGCAAAAAAAGCAACAAAAAAAACTAGCAACAACAGAATACTCATGCAGATGCAAAAGGACCAGAACTGCAGTATTAACTAACACCATAGTCAAGACTGACATGGCTTGTATCAGCCTAAATTTCAGGTGGAGAAGACACAGGGCAGGAAAGTGGAACCTCTGACAGTAAAAATATGTATTTTGACCCCAGGACAGAGAACATAGAACTGAAGGTATCAATTTCAAAAGGTACCTACATTTAATGATAATGATACTAATTTCAACAAGATTTTGTATTTAATGCTAATGTTACTAACTAGCCTTTGTGTCTTGGTAAGGCCTTGAAAGGGAAAGCCTATTTCTGTTCTCTCCTACACTCCATACTCTTTCCTTCAACATATGACATTTTCACATCAGAGGGGATCCTTACCATAAACAGGCAAGATCTAAGTAGAACAGAAGCAAAACCACTTTCACTCTAAAAGAATGAACATGTTACTGACTAATGTCAAACTGCTTTTGAGGGATCTATTGCTCTACTTATTGGAAGGATTTTTGGACACTTCACAGGAAGTCCACACACCATAGCTAACTGATACAGCTTTTTAGCCATCATTCTAATGCTTCTTCACCAAAGGAAAAAAAACAAAAAACAAAACAAAACACCAAAATAGACCCAGAAAAACCCTCCAAAAAAAAAAAAAAATCCCAAAATTCCTTAAAATTGAAAGTCTATTTAGACAGATAAATTCATTATATTAAAGCAGTTCCAAAAATTTTTCTTTCCTTGTTTTACCAAAACAGAGTCTTTACTCACTGTGCTGGTAAAACAAGGAAAGAAAAGTTTACTGCAGAGATTCACTACAAGTTTTCACGTGTGAAAAGAAAATCTGCATAACATACATTAATGTATTAATGGATAGTAAGAGCTGATATCTAACAACTGTGAAGCCAAAACATAGCTGGAACAAAAAATAAAAAAGCTATATAACAAAAACCAACTAACCAACAAAACTCCCAAAAAATAACCAAAAGAAAAAGTAAAAGAAATGTATTTAAAAGCATAAACCAAATTAAAATACAAGAGAAATAAAAAAAATTGTAAAATAAAATAAAATAAAAAAATTTGTAATTTCATAATTTCACTGTTGTCCTACAGCAGCTGTAACTAAGGAGATGATTAACATGATTTAGTCAAATGTAGTTTTGCCCAAGAGAAAGCTATTAATAATGCATACTACGTTAACTTCTCTAGAGGTAAACGGAAGACCACTTGTCATTAAGGTTACCTGTTTTGTGTTTTGATAACCAGGTGAACAGTGAGTCCATCATGAATTCCATGCTGAGTCAAAGTATCTTGATCTTTTAAAATTTTTCCAGCAAATATCAAAACAAGCTGATCAATGTGGGACTTGAAACGCTTAGAGATTTCTTCCTTGAACTAAACAAAAAAAAAAAATTACACATTTATATAATTAAATACTGAAGTGCAATTTTAAAAAATAATTTTAAAACCTGTTTTTCACATTTGTCATATTACCTCACTTGTACTGCATATTCTGTATTTCACAAACTAGAAATACTTTTGTTTCCTGAACTTCTGTCTGCCCATGGGAAGATGGGAAACATGTCTTTATCATTCCGAAAAGGAAATCTGAAGAATTTCACATCTAGTGAAATTAGTTACATAAGTTGTGACAACAAAAACCTGATTTCCATTGAAGACTATTGTGACTTCAATCAGGCATGCATCCATGATATAAGTACATACTAGTATATACAGTACTTAAACACACCCATATGTATATACATGGTAAATTATGCATATAATGATATACTAGCAAGTACACACATGCAAATATGCACACCACTGAAGCCATCCATTGCTGAAGGACTGATGACACAATGCCACAAAGAGGACACATCTGCCTAGACTTTTGCTTGAACTGAATATACTCTCTCCTTAGATGTATTTTTGCTGCCTTCCTTCCATGTGTCAAAACTAGCATTCCTTTCCACACAGACAAAACCATATATACCACACCTACACCTTACATAGCTCTGCTTTCTCATTCAACGCATGACACAGCTACATGAAATGCGGTTACGGCCCAGGGCACAGTGAATAAACACATTTTTCATTTCATTGAGAAATCATTGTCATACAAGACCTTTTACAAAAGAGACTGCTTTCTAACTGACTGATTGTTAACTGTCCAAAACACCTAAAATAACAGATTAGCTTAATACATTTTTGGAAGAAAATCATCTACACATATGGAAAACATAATCCTAAAAACATTGCTGAAAAGGAATGTAAAGATCATCTAGTTCCAGCTCTTCTGCCAAGGGCAGGTATGCCTTTCCCTAGACCAGGTTACTCAAAGTCCAGTCTGGCTTCGAACACCTTCTGCAAAGGGGCTTCCACAGCTTCTCTGGGCAACCTGTGCCAGTGTCCTCACAGTAAAGAATTTCTTCCTAATATTAAAGAGGGTAAAGTCATTCCCCTTGTATCATCACTCTATGCCCTTTTAAGAAGTCCCTCATCTTTCATGTACGTCTCTTTTGGCCACTGAAAGGCTGCTCGAAGGTCTCCCTGGAGCTTCTCTTCTCTGCGATGAACAGAAGTCCCTCAGCCTGTCTTAACATTACATGGGCTTCAGCCCTCTGATCATCTTGGTGGCCTCCTCCTAGCTCACTCCAACAGGTCCATGTCCTCCTCTGCTGGGGTCCTCTGAGCTGGATACAGCACCCCAGGTGGAATCCCACCAGAAGAGAGCAGAATCCCCCTCACTCACCCTGCCAGCCATGCTGCTTTTGGATGCAGCCCGGGATACAATCAACTTTCTGGGCTATGAGAACACATTGCTGGGTTATGTCCAGCTTCTCATCCACAAGCACCGCCAAATCATTCTCCTCAGGGCTGCCCCCAATCCATCCTGCCTGTATTTGTATTTGGGATTGCCCCAAACCAAGTGCAGGACCTTGCACTTGCCCTTGTGGAGCTTCATGAGGTTCACATGAGCCCACCTCTCAAGCCTAGCAAGGATGGCATCCCTTTCCTCCAGTGCCTCATTCACACCACACTGACTGGCACACATTGTTGGGGTGCACTCAATCCCACTGTCCATGTTACTGACAAAGATGTTAAACAGAGCTTGCCCCTGTACCGATCCCTGAGGACACCACTCGTTAGTGGTCTCCACTTGGACAATGAGCCATTCACCACAACCCTTTAAATTTGTTGTTCACTGAGCAGTCCATTTGTCAAAACCATGTGTCTCCAGTTTGGAGACAAGTCATGTGGCACAGTGTCAAACACTCTACATATGTGCAAGTTGATTATGTCATTCACTTTTCCCTCATCCGCCACCACTGCAACCCCATTACAGGCAACCATCAAATTTGTCCTTAGTGAAGCTGTGCTGACTATCACCAGTCTTCTCCTTCCCTTCCATGTTCCTTAGCATAATTTCCAGGAGGTTCTGTTCCATGATCTTGCCAGGCACTGAGGTAAGACTGACCAGCCTGTAGTTCCCTGAGTCATCCCAATTTCCTTTCCCAAAAATATATGGATGTCCTCCTTTGCCTTTTCCAGTCTGTGTAACTTCAACGGAGAACTGCTACAACTTTGCAAATACAACAGCTGGTGGCTTAACTACTGTCTTGCCCAGTTCCCTCAGGACATATGGATGTATCTCGCGAGATCCCACAGGTCTTGAACCTGATCTTCTACAGAGGATGGTTCTTCATTCTCCCAACCCCTGCTTTCACAAACTTGGGGAGTGTGGCTGGAGCATTTGCCAGTGAAGGGAACAGGCTTGGCCATCAGACTGTGGGTGCTGAGCCACTGTAGTGTATCATTTGTTTCTCTTGGGTTTTACTCTTCTCTCCCTCTTGTTCATTACTATGATTGTTGTTGTTATTATTATTACTGTTGTTGTTTTAAATATTAAACAGTTATTATATAAATCAATGAGTTTTACTCCTTTTTTTCTGATTCTCCTCCCCATTTCACTAGGCAGGAGGGAAGTGAGGAAGCAGTTGCATAATAATTGCTGGCTGGGTTTAAACCATGACAGATTATGATGACGGAAATTCAGGCAGTTCTAAAAAAATTAATTTTGGTGTTGTTTAGGTCTTCAGTTTGTACAGCATAACTAAATAACAGTATCAGTAAATTACAGTTTAAATACTTCATCCACTGGGAAAACCAAAAGCAGAAGTTCAGCGTCACTGACTGGAAATGATGAGTATTTCTGTCCAATTCTCCTAATTCAGTGACTCATCCTTTTCATTATCATGTAATAATTCAACGGACAATGTCAGGTCATTTGCTTTATTGTTCTAAATGCAAGTTTTACTTCATTGTAATAATACTATGCCTTGTTCACTCATAACTGGGCACAGGAAAGGACTCAAAGTTGTGAAAATAATGTTTCAACATACTTGAAACCTAGTGTATTCATGGAAACTAGTTCTTTCAGTAGAATAATGTAACATAAATTTTTTACATTATTATTAGAAAAATATGTGGGGAGAAACACAGTGGGAATGAGACTAAAACACTGGACTAATATCTAGACAGAGGCCTGGTTTTCCTAGGGAGAAAAGCAAAAAGCACTCTTAACCTGAGTGAGTTGATTCAAGGTTACATTCTCCTCAAAGCATGGCAACTTGCAAATTTGAAATGAATTAGAACAAATCCAAAGCTTGTCTTGTTGAAGGACTTTGCCCAAATTGCCATTTTACCTCAAGTTAACTTGTTTACATAAGCTTTTTTTTGCTTTGAAATACAAAAGCAGAATAGTTTTCATCTTGAGAAAACTCATTGTCTTTTTAGCAGCACACCAGCACTTCTTGTTTATACTCTCAATTCCATGCCAAATACCCTTATCTTCACAGCAACTTTAAAATAATCACTATTAAAAAGTTGGCTTTTTTTGTTCAATGTTAAGACACATGAAAAAAAAAAAGACCAACTCTCTGAAGCAAGCTAGGACTTTTACTACACCTGCTCAAACTTGATTGCCTCTCAAGTTTTTTGCAAGGTACAGATGGACACCATAAAATGTTGATGTCTAGTGTTGAACAAATGCATACTGGTACCTGAGCTAGTCAAAGTAAATACTTTGTCACCAAACAAAGAAAATATCTGAATACACATGAAGTAGAACATCTGACTAAACCAGATACTGTTTCACACTGTCACTGTGCAAACCAGATCCATAATTTAAACATTAACCTATTAACATCTGACAATCTGGCCTTGGAAGAACCTGGTAAAGTATTATTCCAGGTAAAGTGAAAGCATTAACATTCAAACTCTCCTTTGATATGTTACGACCATATAATATTTCCAAAGCTTCTCATGTTGACTCATTTTATGACATCAAAATCAGCAACTGTAATAATCTTACTATCCACTCATAAAACAAAGTGCTGTGATAAAGTAATAAAAAGAAGAAAATAAATAAATTTTAAAATACTTTCTCTTTTTTGAGAGAATTGAGAAAAATTCTCTCAACCTCATCTTAGTAAGTCATATTTAAAAATTAAATTACAGTAACAACCTGGAAGAGATCTTGGGCAATTAACATCTAAGTCCATTGAAGTAACAGAAAACAGGTCCCTAGAAACTTCAACTACTTTGAAAATGTTAAGCTACAATTTCATCTAGATGACTGTCAAAAAAAGTAAGGCTGCTGATTCTCCCCACGTGAAACTGTTTTGAACACAATAGAGGATGACATGGAAGCAAATGTTTGTACACAGAAGGCTGAACTTCGGTATTCATTCCTAGAAGCCTCTCAGATAGTTCTTCCACAAAGAAAGATTTTGAAACAGTATTACCTTGTTTGGCACTGCTGTTTCAAAACGCACCCGTAATATTTAAACTTTCAACCGTCTTTCCTAACAACATACACAGTTAAGCATATTGACTGAACTCCCGTCTGTTTTACACTCACACTGAGCAGCATCAGAACCAAACTTTGATGAGCTCCAGCTTTCTTTTATACAATAGAATTAATGGTTACAGGTCGTCTTGACCCAAGAAGTAAGGAACCAAACACACTCACAGCCACAGCTGATAGCTGTGGTTTCCTTTTGGGATGAATCATGACCTGGACATCTTATAAGTGACTTAAAGTGAGTCAGTAAAAACCAGGTTTCATTGCACAACTCTAGGACACTATAGAGGAAGGAAGATAAGAATTTGTCATTTCAAGCAGAAATACAAGCACTTTTGCCCTGCAACAAACAAAGCATAGCTAGAAATAATACACAAAATAATGTTTCCATGTAAGAGTACTGTCTTTCATGTCTTAATATCTTATGGTGGCTTTGCCAATGACCCATGCTAGTTTCATAATAAAATTATTTCCTCAAATGTCTGCAATCAAATCAAACCCAGAGTCAGATTCTTGATGAGCTTAAAAG